ACTTTGGGTTAAATTTGTTATTATTCTTTAGTTGATCTAAAAATAATTTAATTTAAACATAACTTAATTATGTTTAAATAAATTATTGATAAAGTGATTTAGTAACAATACTAGTTTGGAATACAATGACGCGGATAAATGTTTGATATAAATTTGAGTTGAACTGAGGTTGATTCACTTGAGTATTCCCCGAGACCGAGCAATTAGTTTAAATTTTGGATAGATTGATACCCCGAGCTAACAATTACACTCACTCAAGAAAATTTACGGCTAATATGAGATGATTGTTTATTTATTATTAATTTGGAAGGAATTGAAAGATTCGTTTTTGATTTTGTGATCAATAGCTTGGTTTAATTCAAGATTTATATAATTTCCAATTGCATTTATGCTTTGACTTTGGGTTAAATTTGTTATTATTCTTTAGTTGATCTAAAAATAATTTAATTTAAATATAACTTAATTATGTTTAAATAAATTATTGATAAAGTGATTTAGTAACAATACTAGTTTGGAATACAATGACGCGGAAAAATGTTTGATATAAATTTGAGTTGAATTGAGGTTGATTCACTTGAGTATTTACCGAGACCGAGCAATTAATTTAAATTTTGGATAGATTGATACCGCGGGCTGAGAATTAAGCTCACGCCGGAAAATTTACGAGTAGTATGAGATCATTGTTCATTTATTATTAATTTGGAAGGAATTGAAAGATTCGTTTTTGATTTTGTGATTAATAGCTTGGTTTAATTCAAGATTTATATAATTTCCAATTGCATTTATGCTTTGACTTTGGGTTAAATTTGTTATTATTCTTTAGTTGATCTAAAAATAATTTAATTTAAATATAACTTAATTATGTTTAAATAAATTATTGATAAAGTGATTTAGTAACAATACTAGTTTGGAATACAATGACGCGGAAAAATGTTTGATATAAATTTGAGTTGAACTGAGGTTGATTCACTTGAGTATTTACCGAGACCGAGCAATTAATTTAAATTTTGGATAGATTGATACCCCGAGCTAACAATTACACTCACTCAAGAAAATTTACGGCTAATATGAGATGATTGTTTATTTATTATTAATTTGGAAGGAATTGAAAGATTCGTTTTTGATTTTGTGATCAATAGCTTGGTTTAATCCAAGATTTATATAATTACCAATTGCATTTATGCTTTGACTTTGGGTTAAATTTGTTATTATTCTTTAGTTGATCTAAAAATAATGTAATTTAAATATAACTTAATTATGTTTAAATAAATTATTGATAAAGTGATTTAGTAACAATACTAGTTTGGAATACAATGACGCGGATAAATGTTTGATATAAATTTGAGTTGAACTGAGGTTGATTCACTTGAGTATTCCCCGAGACCGAGCAATTAATTTAAATTTTGGATAGATTGATACCCCGAGCTAACAATTACACTCACTCAAGAAAATTTACGGCTAATATGAGATGATTGTTTATTTATTATTAATTTGGAAGGAATTGAAAGATTCGTTTTTGATTTTGTGATCAATAGCTTGGTTTAATCCAAGATTTATATAATTACCAATTGCATTTATGCTTTGACTTTGGGTTAAATTTGTTATTATTCTTTAGTTGATCTAAAAATAATTTAATTTAAATATAACTTAATTATGTTTAAATAAATTATTGATAAAGTGATTTAGTAACAATACTAGTTTGGAATACAATGACGCGGATAAATGTTTGATATAAATTTGAGTTGAACTGAGGTTGATTCACTTGAGTATTCCCCGAGACCGAGCAATTAATTTAAATTTTGGATAGATTGAGTATTTTGATGGGTCCGCACGAAAAAAATCCATGATATTCATTGGAAATTAACAATTTGAAGCATTTCATGACTAGTTTCAAGATAGTGAATTCAATATTCGGTTCTACGACGACGCAAGGATGATTATTCCCATTGTATATTTTTATGGAGCACTAAAAACTGAATGATCACTGACATAACTAGAAAAAAAACTGTTTCCGTGGCTACTCTCAACCGCAATTCTCCTTCCACATATTTTCCCCTCTTTGTGGATTTTGATGTAATTCCACGTTGAATTTTTGAATCGTCGAGAATTCTATGGATTTGAACGAACAGATGCGGTGTAGGTACCTTTCATGACTGCATGTGATGATAGACCGAGAGGAAGTATCGACCAATTCAATGGTTTACATATTGTGTTTTCCATAGCCATCATTCGATAGATTTACGCGGGATTCTATTACAGTTGGCGGAGGGGTTTCTCAGGATTATATATTACTTGCGATGAGTCAATTTTATTTTGTTGGAATTCTGAACTGAGAGGTTTGTCCTAGCGGTTTGCATTTCCCGCTGACATGTGGGGGATAATCCATTATTTCAAGCTATTTTAATTGATTCAATTATTGTAATTATTTCGTTTGACATTCTCTAGTCGTTTCAACGATATTTTGATCTGAAATTAATGAATTCATGTATTTATCTTGATGAAATTGTTTTACTTAATTTATTCGGATCAAATGAACAATTTATTTATATTAAAAATTGTGTTTATTTGATGTGAATGAGAGCGCCAATTAAAATCAAGTTCAAGTTTGAATAAAAGTTTTATTATGTCCTCGAAGCGAGGATTTTCGTTGTTATGAAATTAATATACCCATGTTTATGAATGCTTTGGTATTCAAAGTAGATTACCTGGCACCTTGTAACAATTAATGTTCAATTAATGTTCAATTACTCCGGGATTTTATCCTTTTCGGATGGACCGAGAGGAAGGATCGACCAATTCAATGCTTTACATATTGTGTTTTCCATAGCCATCATTCGATAGATTTACGCGGGATTCTATTACAGTTGGCGGAGGGGTTTCTCAGGATTATATATTACTTGCGATGAGTCAATTTTATTTTGTTGGAATTCTGAACTGAGAGGTTTGTCCTAGCGGTTTGCATTTCCCGCTGACATGTGGGGGATAATCCATTATTTCAAGCTATTTTAATTGATTCAATTATTTTAATTATTTCGGTTGACATTCTCTACTCGTCTCAACGATATTTTGATCGGAAATTAATGAATTCATGTATTTATCTTGATGAAATCGTTTTACTTAATTTATTCGGATCAAATGAACAATTTATTTATATTAAAAATTGTGTTTATTTGATGCGAATGAGAACGCAAATTAAAATCAAGTTCAAGTTTGAATAAAAGTTTTATTATGTCCTCGAAGCGAGGATTTTCGTTGTTATGAAATTAATATACTCATGTTTATGAATGCTTTGGTATTCAAAGTAGATTACCTGGCACCTTGTAACAATTAATGTTCAATTAATGTTCAATTACTCCGGGATTTTATCCTTTTCGGATGGACCGAGAGGAAGGATCGACCAATTCAATGCTTTACATATTGTGTTTTCCATAGCCATCATTCGATAGATTTACGCGGGATTCTATTACAGTTGGCGGAGGGGTTTCTCAGGATTATATATTACTTGCGATGAGTCAATTTTATTTTGTTGGAATTCTGAACTGAGAGGTTTGTCCTAGCGGTTTGCATTTCCCGCTGACATGTGGGGGATAATCCATTATTTCAAGCTATTTTAATTGATTCAATTATTTTAATTATTTCGGTTGACATTCTCTACTCGTCTCAACGATATTTTGATCGGAAATTAATGAATTCATGTATTTATCTTGATGAAATCGTTTTACTTAATTTATTCGGATCAAATGAATAATTTATTTGCGTTAAAAATTGTATTTATTTGATTTCAATGAGAGCGCATAAGGCAGAGCGGTTTTTCACGATTAGGTATTACTTGCGATGAGTCAATTTCATTCTGGTGGAATTCTATTTCAATTGATTCAATTACTTGAATTATTTCGTTTAACATTCTTCTACTCTTGAAATTTCAAGTGGAGAAGCTTGAAATTTTGAACAACGAAAAAGTTAAATAAAATTTCTGTATGTTTCTTCATTGACGAATCAGTCAATTTCTTGAAAATTCAGGCAATAAATTTTTTGAATCCTCAATCTATTGAAAATTGAATAGTATTTGATATTTTATTTTCACGAAGAGTTCGGAACTCCCCGCGTTCATTGAAAAATCAATGATTGTTTAACATGAAAAATCCGATTTTCTTGAAATTTAGTGAACGCTTTCATTCGAAATTGAATTCAATCTCACAGCAATTGAAATTGAACTATCAACATTGAAAATTCTAAATCCTCAATCTATTAAAAATTGAAAAGTATTCGATGTTCAATTTTCCCGATGAGTTTGGAAATCCCAGTGTTAATTGAAAAATCAATTATGTGTTTAGCATGAAAAACCTAATTTTCTTGAAATTTAGTCAACATTTTCATTTGAAATTGAACTCAATCTCACAACAATTGGAATTGAACTCACAAAATCGAAAATTCTAAATCCTCAATCTACTGAAAATTAAATAGTATTTGATGTTTAATTTTTCCGATGAGTTTGAAAATTCCAGCGTTCATTAAAAAATCAATGATGTGTTTAACATGAAAAACCCAATTTTCTTGAAATTTAGTGAACACTTTCATTTGAAATGAAATTCAATCACAACAATTGAAATTGAACTCTCAACATCGAAAATTCTAAATCCTCAATCTATTAAAAATTGAAAAGTATTCGATGTTCAATTTTCCCAATGAGTTTGGAAATCCCAGCGTTAATTGAAAAATCAATTATGAGTTTAGCATGAAAAACCCAATTTTCTTGATACTTAGTCAACGTTTTCATTTGAAATTGAATTCAATCCCACAACAATTGAAATTGAACTCCGAACATCGAAAATTCAGACGCCGCTGTGCCTGAAATTTCAAGAAATTTCCACCAGTGCGTGTTGGTACCAGAAATGCTCGGCATTTCCTTCCACTCTGTGAAGAGCCATCAACATTGACAAACAGGGGGGTTGGTAAAATGCTCACATGACCGTTTGAATGTAGTTGGGGTGGTGTTGCAGGTCTGGAACGTGTAGCGGAAGAGTTGATGGGCCGTAGGAGATGGAAGCAATACCAGGACACCCTGTACAGCAGCACTCGGAGCGAATCAGCAAGCCAGCCGCATCACCGGCTCTATCCGGCCCTATCGACAGCCTGCAGCAATATTGCTGCGGGGAATGCCAGCCAGATCGGGTCGCAACACCATCGTCAGGCATCAACGGGCACTGTACACCAGCCATCAACACCACCACTGTCAGCGACAGTAATAACAACGACTGGACAGGAGCAGGGGCCACTCAAGCAGAAAGAATTGACGAATCACAGGGGAAGCGAGGAGTCTTGTCCGATAAGGCCCGAGGATATAAAATTAGAGATAGAGGCTGCACAGGAGGTGAACAGTGGTGGACGCTCAGAGTTACTGCAGCACGGGGAGGTCCATACATTGACGAGGATACAGGAGCGTACGAGACTAAGAGTAAAAAACGAAAACGGAGAAGAAGATTCAAGTGTGAAGACAGGCGAGAGCGAGAACGATTTGGAGAGTGCGGAGAAGAGGCTGAAATTGGACGATTCATTGAGGACCTCGGTCAGCCCACTGAGGGAAAACGAACGGTCACCCTCGAGAGATTCGCGGGCGAACGAGGGAGCCGATCCGGAAGGGACCAAGGTACTATTTTCATGACAATTTTCACAATTTTTAGGTGGACACGTCGTTAACCACTCAAAATATGAATGACTCTCTTTAAAATTGAGTATTTTTAAGACTGGGATTTACACGGAGAGAAGAATTCTATTAAAATTGCCAGAAAACTGTTTCATAACGTTGAACAGATTTTCCCGATCTGAGTCACTCGCTCCTGTGGTCACATACCCATAGTCAATTTCTTAATTTCAAGAATTTTTATTACTAATTCGTTTTCTAGAGAACGGATACGAATCATCTAATCTGTTGAATCAAGTGAATAATTGAACTGAAATTTCAGAGAAAATGCCACGTGACAAAATTTTTTATTTGAACAAAACAAATTTCCAATAGTGCTATATAATTCGCTACAGGAACACGCGTGAAAAAATTTAGTAGAAAAATCTAGGGAATTCACTGGACAATTCTATTGAGATATTTTTTTGATTTTCCTGATAAAAAGAAAAGCAAAATAGAATTTTAAAAAACTGGGAAAATTCGAGCCTAGGAGATCCAACAGACGACATTTATAGAATATTTTCTATTCAACAATTTAATAGAAATCCACTAAAATTGTCTAGCGAATTCGCAAAGTTTTACTATTAATTTTTTTCGTGCATTAAGTCCTACATTTTTCTACCAATTTTTCCATCCGTCCAAATAAACCATCTCTCCATTGTTGCAATTGAAAACCCGAACACAAATGGCTTGTCTAAAAGTTCCCAAACTCCTCAACTGGCGAATAAAGTCTGAAAAGAAAAATCCGCCCAAAGTTTTCGCATTCCTTCGGATGTCTCGTACACACAACCCCCGCAGATTGATCACTCCCAGAGTAATTACACTCGTAATCGGATTTCGCTGGAGTCCTGCAATTAGGAAAATTGAATCACCATTTTTGCATGATTTGACACAGGAACCGAGTGCGGAAAACGCGTTGGACCGGATACAGGTGACACCGGGTCTATTGAGGGTAAAGAAGGAGGAGGAGTTGCAGGAGTTACCGCAACAGGTGAACTGTGGAGGCGGCGATACTACGAGAGTAGATACCGAGGTCAACAGGCCAATAACCAAGGAACAATCGGAGTCTATCAACGATTGTACGTTAACGTATCCTGTCAACCGGCGAGTAAGTCCACCGCCGGAGGACTGGAAACCATTAGACAAGTGTTATCTCTGTCTCGATGGAAAACTGCCCCACGACGATCAAGCGCCACTTGTTAGTTGAACTTTCATTAATATTACGAATTAGAAAATTGATATCTTTGGAGAAGATTAAGGATATCCAAGCACTTTGGCTATTTTTTTCTCCAGTAAAATGATTTTCTACTTTTGTAGTTGTACATCAGAGCTTTCACTTGACCTCCATTTGACCTCAAGTTTTCGGACATTTTCCAAAGATTTTATTATTTAAACTTTGCAGGGCTGAATTTGAATCTCGATATTGAATCGTTAGAAAACATTCTAAAAATTCGAAAAAAAATTGAAAGTTTACTTTTGAAAGAAAATTGATGAAATAATTAAAAAAATGCAATTTTTGAAAAATACGAGCATTTTCTATGAATAATTTATAGACAATCAATTTTTCACTATAAAAAATCATTTGTTAGAAATCGTAACAAATTTATTATTTATGTAGAAACAACGACTGTCGAAAAAAATAATAATTCTGTGGAAAATGTCATGACGCTGAATATTTATGATTTTTTTCGAATTTTTCTACAGTGAAATGATTTTCTACTTTTGTATACTTTACAAAAATTTTATTATTTGAACTTTGCAGGGCTGAATTTGAATCTCGAGATTGAAGCGTCAGAAAACATTTTAAAAAGCTGAAAAAAAATGAGAAAGTTTACTTTTGGAGAAAGATGGATGAAATAATTAAAAAATTGCAATTTTTGAAAACTACGAGCATTTTCTATGAATAATTTATAAACAATCAATTTCCTACTATAAAAATCATTTTTTCGAAATCGTAACAAATTTATTATTTATTCATAAACACCGAATGTTGAAAAAAAATGATAATTCTGTGCAAAATGTAATCTGAGAGTAAAAGATATTTGGATATCCTTAAGTTCACTTCAAGCAAATTTTATCCAACACCTGAGGAACTAAAAAAATATTACATTTTCTTCCTTCAATGAAGTTATTTCTTATTTTAAACTGAGAGAAAAAATTAGCACTGCTGAAAAACAATGTTTCACGTGAGAATATTTGATGGAGTAGAACAGATTTACATGAGGGAAATTAACCCACTTGATGGAAGGAAACTGAACATCTTCCACAAAAATTAAATTTTTGTCGTGATTATCAGAAATATCCCCAGAAGAATTCGAACTGTTGACAGGAAAAAATATAATCTATCGTACGACAATCATTTGATCTGAGAGAACTCCATCGGTTTATACCACAGAAAGAATACCTTGACGAGGAAAGAATATTTTTTTCCCAAAAAAAATTGTCCCCTCGCAATTATTTAGCTTTGACAATAACACAGTTATCAGCAAGAAAATCGTAGTTTCCTCTTGAAATTATCATTTGTTCCATGGAAATTATAAGTGTTCATTGGACAAAGATATACACTACTCAATATCATTCACTTGATAAAACCGGAGCCTCATATAATTCTCTGTAGAACGAATGTATTTACCCGAAAGACAAAAAATTTGGAATTCTATTGTTGTTCATTGATGAATCTTCGACGAAGCTGACAGGCAAATTTCACGATATTTCCAGAGCCCACAAAGTGAGAGTAGTAGTAGTTCACGATCTGCAGAGTCTCCAATGTCGGTGCAAGTCGATCCAATGGCGGCATCTGCCGTGGTTGCTGCCGCCCTTAGCGGCGCGTACCCCACGTTACTGCCACAATGGGGGTTACCACCGAGGGACGCATCCCTTGTTGGTATTCAGACACACCATGATACTGGCCAATCGGCTGATCAGCCCCTTGATCTCTCGGCGAAACCGAAAAACCCTCAGGTAAGTCTCGTTCCGGGACAATTATCCAATCACTAAAGTTGCATCAGATATCCCTAACTCATGATGATTTAAATCAACCCCCAATAATTATCATTACTTGACGATCTAGTCTTCAACACTGGGCGAACTTCGTAATTAGTCTTCAGGAGGATTAATATATTTGGCTCGAAAAATGAGTTCGATATTCTTTCTTCAATCAATTGTTTATGGTCACTCCCATTGCAAGAAGCAATACGACCGATGAGAATCACATGTCCCGATTTATCAGCTGCTAAATTTTCATATTGCAATAAATGATTTGTTCATGTTCTAATTTCTATGCTGACTGAATAGGATTTTAATCATAATTACAATTCAATTTCTTCTAGAATACACTTTACAATGTGAATTTCTGGAATTCAATGTTTGTTGATACTCTGGTAAAAGCGCGTGCCCACACTGTTATCAATTTTTAGTTAGTTCACACGGTAATTCAATTAATCTGTTGTTCATCTCATCAATATAATTCCGTGCTTAGAATATTGTCATCTCGTGTTTTCAGCACCAAATTAAAAATTAAAACTTCATTTGGAATACTGAGTCACAGCTTCTTTTTATTCATATCAGAAATTTTGTATTTGGATATTAATATTATTTGTTCAAAGTGAAAAAACCGATCATCATTTTCACTATATTGCATTCAGATTCTCCTATCCTTAACGTCAAAAATGTGAGATAATCTCATAATTCTAACTATTAATTCTAATCAACTTTGTTCGAAGAAAACCTCAGTAAACGCAATATTAAGAAAGTAGAATTATTCTATTTTCCTCTGACCTAAATGATTTGGACAATTATGATTCGTTTATTCATGTTTCACAGAATGGTATTCAATTCTTTTTTTTACTTTCTCCATTGCGCCATGTTCGGAAACGCAATTTGATATTGCGCCTAAAAAATACTCTTCGTCTATTCTATAAACTCTGAAAAGAATTCCCCCCCCCCTACTTCGTTATCCTTGAATTCTGATATTGAAAAAGAGATAAATTAACTCGTTTCATCCCTCCAATTCGTTCCTTATTTGTATCACCTTGTATTTATTCCCCTTCACCTCGTGTTTATGGAGCAATCTCAAAATATCGATTTCATCCAAGCTTAACCCACTTAATTTTCACTCACTCTCTCCATCAAGCTAGTCAATGCGCCCAACGAGCCAAAATTTACCGAATCGAATACAATATCGAGCCGAATGACCAGTTATCGGAATAACTTTTAATTAACCCAACTGTTTCCATGAATGATAAATCTACCCAAACGAAGAATAATCACCCGAAAATGAATATTAAACGTCCTTCCAAGAAATTTCAGAAAAGATCCGGATTGTCTTTCAACTCCTTGGAAACTTTTTCAATCCGTGCATGCAAATGTATGAATCTGTGTTAAAAGAACCAATTATATTCCTCAAGATAAAAATTACCATTTTATTGTAATGAGTCCTTTGTGGGCGTATACAAACGACTCGTGACTTTGATCGAGTAGTGGATTAAACCACTTAATCATGAGTTTTTAATGACGAGAGCTTCATCGGCTATTTTCATCGAGAATTACTCTCAAAATGATCCCCTCGGGTATCAGAAAAATAACTTTTTGAGTATTTGACTGAAAAAATTAGGCGATTCTTCCCCTTTTTCTCTTGACAATGTTTTTGCTTCCGAATGGAAGCTGTCTAATCGCTCAAATTGAAGTTTCCATTTTGTTTTTGAGTTAGGGTGACTAACAATTCTAATAATAAAGAAAAAACGCCACATATTATTTTTGTATTTACTGAAAATTTTGATATAGCGCCAATAAAATCTGTGATTTAGTTGTACCTAAAAAAATCTCAAAAAGTCCCTTATTATCGCTCCGCCGTTCTTCCCCTCAGTGCATTCACATGAGAATAATCTTCTTCCAGGACAACAACATATCCATATTGGATCAACAAAAAATACCTCTGAGAATGCCGGCGAATATTGATCCCAAGACTATCTTCACGTGAGTACAATTTGTCCTACATAATCCATATGAGTCCTCTCACCGATATTTGCATTCCATTGCAGACGGTTACGTATTCAAGGGTCTCCAGAGGAAAAAAAAATTATCTCAAATAAAACACATTCCATCCACCTCGTGACCGAGTGCATCGAGACCTCTCGTATTATTTTTATTATCCTCTTTACTCTATTTTCTCTCTCGTTTCCTGATAAGACGCGTTCGTGAAACGTGTCGACGTAAGAGTGAAGCGAAACGAGAGATTTCATCGGGCAACGACACGTTATTAAACTCATCTCGAATTTTTTTATTCTTGAGAAACATGAAAATTAGCACGATTTTCAGGGGCTGTACGTGCCAGTCGTTGTCGGACAATGACTTTTATGATTTTTTCATTGTCATTGACCTTGAGTTGCGACCGTTGAGTGTTTTATATTCGTATTTTTACGCATGTTTATTTTAATTGCGTGTTCATTTTGTCATGCTTGAGTTATGAAATTATAAATTTTTGGCGGAAATTTCCAGTACAACTCTTCGAAATCTTTATCATATTATGACTGAAAAATGAAAAAAAATTCCGTTCCGTAATTTTTACTGAACATTTCTCTCCGTGAATATCTATAGTTGGTGATTGTTCTATATAACTTATTTTTTAACGTTAAAATCGTATGAAAACTGCGGTGCAAGGAGCATTTTGAAGGTATAATCAGGAGAAAATGAAGTCTTTCGTGGTTACACGCGGCAAAATCGATCGGGTCCGCGATTTTTCCTGGTTATTCCCATATTCCGTCACATATCATAAACTGTTCAATGGGTTCCAAGGCTCAGTGAAGACTTAAGGGTGCCAAGTGAATTTGGCGATGACCTTGAAAATTGACATTTACCAACAAAGTTATAATTTTTTTAATTAATAGTATTAGACAGATGCTGAACATCGGTGACAATTTTGAAATTTTAGAACTTATGGATATCGAGAGATTAAATAAACAAAATCAGTCTTATACACGGCCTCTTATGGAGTTTGGATTAAATTGAACGTTTCAACCCCCTAGGAACTCAAGAAAAATTTAAAAAAATTTGAAGATATGGGGAATTATGTGTTCAATGTGATGGCGACAAAAAACAATGGGGTACCGGGGTGAATAAGAGAGATATTTCAACTCGCCGTACCCATTTGATCTCATGCTTTCTCGAGGTTCGTCACGCGAAATAGAGGATTTTCCGCATTTATTTTCTCGATGTCTAGTTCCGGTTGCGGGTTTGAAATTTCGTCGGATGTATGAATACATATTTCTCCAATGATGGAGGGAAAGAAAAAATTTTTTTTGAATCTTCTTTCAAATTCACTTGACACCCTTAAATTTCACCGACGTATCCCCTTACACTGCGAAAAAAAATTACTTTTGCCAAATACATTTATTAACTACAAGAAAATTTACACATGTCTTATACAGATATTTATATACATTTACTTGTGGCAGGTGAATATATTTGGCAAAAGCATTTTTTTCTAGTTTTGATCGTTTCACGGCTTCATCACTGAATTTCAGTCAAAAATTTTCAACAGTCTGCACTGAGAGAAGAACAAACGTTGTCGAACAAGTCTTGTTTGGGCCTGTTGGAATTCATGCCTGAATACAAAAATTAATTTCTTAGTTTAGTTAAACATTTTCTCTTTTCCACCCAAACACTCAGGGTGACATTTATGGCTTTTCTTAGAAAATAGAGACGTGAAGAAAAACAGTCCTCATGGTGAGTCACAAAGGAGAGGCTGAAGAAAATTGAAACAAGGGCCTTTTGTCAAATGGGTCCAGAGAGTGAAAACTCTCATGACTTTTAGTTAGTCGTCCTAGAGACTTCGTTGGAGAAAGATATACCTTCTGCGTGCGATCATTAAAGAGTTTTACTTTGAAGAATAAAACTAATGTGTTTTTATTGAGTATTCCTACACATAATCCAATAGGGCCAACAAAATCGCTAGTTGAAAATTGCCAAAAAAGAATTTGTTTGGTTCGAATTTGAAAGTCTCCAACATGAATAATTGCGCTGCTTTCGACAGCAACGAAATATTTGGCTCAAGAGGCCGATAACTCACACCAGACGGTGCCTTTTCAGGATGAAAATATCTCATACAGAGGAAAATTTATCAACTAATATTTTATCCCTAAGTTACAAGATTGCTATGACATCATTATTATTGTTTCATTTAAGGGTTCATTTCTTGTCTGTGATTATTAGACAGTCGAAACGAAAAACTACTATCCCTTGTTTCGCATAAAACAAAGATTTTTCGGGAGCAAAATACGTATGGGAGGATCGAATAACGAAGGAGTAGTGCTAGAAATGACATTTCTTGCGTGTACAGAGAATGCAATTTTTTTTTGAACTACTAAATCAATTTTTGCGACAAAAATTTTTCATTCCGGCGCACTCTCTGCACGTTTGACCCAATAAAATCCTCTTTTGATAATTTTCAAAAAACTATTTTCATGGCGCAAGTAAGACTTGTTTGAGAACTTTGTCGTTTTTCTCTCAGTGTACTTCTCTCGCAATTCTTCGACAATTTTTTCTCACCGCACATGTAAAATGAAACGTGATACTCTCCCATCGTCTCATTTTCATAGTTGAATACATGAAAACACTCAAATCAACATCTCGTCCATTGCCCCCGTCCTATCCATCGACAATTTGCGCGTCAAATTTGTTTTCCATCATCTTCTATTATTAGTTGAGCTGTAATCGGTACCTCTCTCATCGTCTCCCACGAAAGAATCTCTCGGTTATTATAATATAAAGATGGTTAAGAAGTGGACGGAGAGGGACGGGAGGGATGTGTATTCAAACTGCATGCGAGTATTAGCGAGGCGATAAGATATCCAAAGCCTCAGGGAAAATGAAAAAAAAAGGGAGGGGGAGAGAAATCGAGACAGTCTTTCACCTCAAATTTTTGCACACGAGGGTACCGATATCGTCTGACGAAATAAATCCCCAGTTCATTCACCGAGAGGAGAGGCATGCAGTATCTCGAAATACAAAGTTTACAAAACGAAATGCACTTTTATCAGCTTGAGGATTCAAAGTCGGACAACGACACACACGCCTGAGAGAGACGCGGGGTTATTCAACCCGAAATGAAATTTTGCCGTTGGCCCCGGGCTAATCTTATCGGGTTTGTTGTGCTCAATATTAATTGGTCGCGATATTATTATGCACTTTGGTTTGCGGATGGAAAATTTGGGTGTTTCGGTAATTCCCGAGGCAGTTGTGAGGAATATTAATTGAAAAGTGCGGGCAGGTGCTCAATCGTTGGTGTTATGGGTATAATAAATCCGTTGATATTGTTTCATCCATGTTAATATGCACTTCTGAAGTAAGAGGAAAATTATTTTTTATTTTGTGGGCCAGGTGGGATCGCGAGGCGAAGACGTCCGAGTGAAATTGTTGTTTCATTTTTGAAGTCTGAAGTCCATTTTTCATTTTTAACAAATACGGAGAGGAATTAACTCTGATTTTAAATCATTTATTTTTAATTTTCTCACGCAATTCATGATGATTATATTTGTTTTCAGATAAATATTCTATCTCTGAATTTCAGGCCATTGTCTTAGTTTTTTGTTTCACGTTCTCGTGAAATTGGGAAAATTTGAATGGAATTCGAATGGGAAAATTTTAGTTTTCCATTCGACGAATTAAATAGGCTCTCGATTTGAAGACTTTAAAGTGAAATTATTTTTCAATCTTCGAAGTCTAAACTTGATGCTTCATTTAAGGATAAAATCTGAAAAAATTAGAAAATTTACTTTTGTAGAAGAATTATGAAATAATTAAAAATTGGCAATTTTTTAATAAATAATTTTTAAACACTCAATTTTTTACCATAAAAATCATTTGTTCGGAATCCTAGCAAATTTATTCATATTCAGAATTTTACCAGAAAGCGATTTCATGTCTGAAAAAATAACGTTTCCAAAAGTTTAAACAATTTCAATTATTAATTTATAAACAACGAATGTTTAAAAAAAAAATTGTATGCAAAATGTTATTTAAATGACGCTGAATATTCATGATTTTTTTTCAAATTTTTTTCACAATTTAATTGACCTCGAAAAAGAATAGGAATAGAATTATTGATCAATTAATATTACTTACCTAATTTTCACTACTACGTCACAGAATCTAAACACTATTTATTTATCTTCAGAAAACTGTTCTCACCGAATTGTTATAATAAAAAAAAAATACAGAACTATCCTTGACATTTTAAATACAATTTCCACAAATAAATGATCTCCCCCCAGTCCTCGTCACTTCCCTACGTAATTATTCCCTCAAAAATGAAATATTTGATTTACCAACAGAACCTCGTACCGGCAGAAGCCCAGATTACCCGGACAAACTGGAGTTGGTGGTGTGCCAGTTGTCGGTGGTGGCCGAAGAACTTACACCGAGGAAGAATTGCAAGCTGCCCTCAGGGACATACAGAGTGGTAAACTCGGTACACGAAGAGCAGCTGTCATCTACGGGATACCAAGAAGCACCCTTCGTAACAAGGTCTACAAGCTTGCAATGGAACGCGAGAGGGACGCCTCCCTCACTAGCACCCATTCACATCCTCACGAGTCTGGCGTACCAGTATCAACCACCACCATCACCTCCACAATACCAACATCAACAACAACAGCATCAACACCAAATACGACCCAAAATGCCTCTGCAACAAGTCCGCCCCCGCAAGTGGATGAGGTAGGTTTTGGGGACGAAAGAGAGAGTGATTTTGTCATTTTTTATTATTTTCATTTTACCAGTTTGTTGGGGTACTTCAACATCGATACAGCAAAACGATCTATTTCTCGCAATGGAGACCGCTCATTTTTCCACACATTTCATGTTTTGCATTAAGAGGCCGCAGGAGGAAAAAAACTGCGAAAAGTCGGCGGAATGAATTTTCAACCAAAAAGGGACGGAAAAACCTGAAAGATGGCTTGAAAAATTTGTTCCTTCTACAGAAACCTGATGAAGTGAGTGGAGAATGATCTGAAGAGGATAAATATATTGAAGAGATGTTTAAAAATACGAGGTGGAGGCGCCGCCATCTTTAAAGCGTCCTGCGACAGGGGAAGGGGTACCCAAACAAGATGGCGGCGCCCACACCTGTTAACCACCTCGTATTTTTGAACGTTTCTGACAATTAGTGATACTCTTCAGATCATCTGCAACTCGTTTCATCCAGATCCTGGAAAAAGAGCGAGTTTTCTAAGCTATTCTGCAGGTGTTGTCATCCCCTTTTGGCACCGTCAATATCTCAATTAATGCTACAGTTCCGGCTACTGCCACCCTCAGCGATTTTTCAATGGATGAAATTTAAGAGGAAGAAAAAAATTGCGAAAATGCGGGGAGAACTTCACTTGCGGCACTAGTGGCACTTTCTGACCCTCGTATTTCAGAGCAACCTAACCTATCAGAATCTTTGCCATTACATATTTATAATAATGGGAGGATATGTATACCATCCTTCGATTAATTTCGCAATTCATAGATGAACTAACGTCATTTTTGTCAAACATTTATCACGTTTGGGAACATATGAGTAACGAAGTGGTAAAACGGTTTAAATCGACTCATCTCCCAGTTGACTTTTTGAAGATTATTTCCGAATCTAAGGGAGATAGCGAAATTTTCCTAATTACATTTGTTGTAGCTCCCCAACGACTCTACAAAAAAGGTTATAATAAAAATTTTGCCATCTCCCTTAGATTCCGAAATATTCATTGAAAACTGGCCAATAGTTAAAATTGACTTGAACCGTTTTACCACTTCGCTACTGATATACATTCCAAATGATAAAGAAGAGTACTAACTCGCTATCTGATGCATTGTTATTCTGAATTATGAAACAAATGGAATTATTGTGGGATGATTTAGCCTTTGAGAAATTCTTTTTGAACTTCAACTGTCCTAAAATTGCTGAAGACCGCTTTTGAAGTGGCACTAACTGGGACGTTAACGTCAGTTTTTGTACCACTCGAGGCCGCTCAATGCAGAACATGGAATGTGTCGAAAAATGCAGGAACTCCATTCTGTGCAACAGGTCACTGAGTCACGAAAATTCTGTATCAATGTTAAAATACGCCAATTCGTTTCAAACAAGAACAAATTCCTAATGACAAAGTAACCGTTACAATCCGATAAATCCGATGTGAGAGTAACTTCTCAGTGCAATAAACAATGAAAATAGCTCAACTCGAATAAGTGAGGGTGCGAAATAGCCACGCGATGAGTTTATTTGTTCCTTTTAATCGGTTTTTTACTATTATTTTTATCTAATGTGTGGTTTTGGTTAGGAAGAACGAATGGAGCTTCCCCAAAACATACCTCTTGCATGGCGATCGATAGACACCGTGTAGACTCACCCATTGAGTGATGCATCGACCAATCACCTCTGCATTACAATAATGCAGATTAATAATTCAATAAATAGAAATACGCTAACTAATTGGGTCTACACGGTATCCACGTGCGGTTGCCGTGACGCTCAGAAGAATGAGAAAATAAATCATTTAAGATAAAATAAAACAGTAGTTGTCCTATGTTTTTTGCATGGGCTGTTTTAACTGTTTATCACTATATTTGTAGTTTGATACTTGGCCACTTGGCGAACGCGAGGTTGCAAGAAGTGAGGTAAGTTTTTGGGAAGTGACCGTTGTGTGCGTGAATTATCATTTCGACACTTCCTGATAAAACGAGGGCATTTCATTTTTATTTTTAAAACAAGGGATCTCAGAATTTATGAATAAACAAAGGTATCCCAGAATTTCTTGTAGAACTAATCTATCCGAATTTTCGGGGGAAAACTTGTCTAACTCAAATGAAATCAGAAAAAACTTATTTCTTTTTTTGCCATTCCCATATAGCCGATTAGGCTTTTTCTGTCATGGGCCGATTTCCTCCTCTATCCGGTCCAGAGGTTTAACCACTTCGACCAACGGCGTTGGTGAAAAAACCTATTTCATGAGCGCTGATTAATTAGAGTTTGACCGATTTAGTCGACATCTTGTGAATTTATAATATGTTGAGGGATTCATGCCAGAAAATTAACACTCCGTTGGTCGCGCTGTGAGCGCCGCGTCGCTCTTTTTCCGATTTTTACAATTACACTGCAAGAGGCCTCAGAAAAAATTGAAAAAATTTGACATCTCATTTTAAAGATGATAAAAAAATATCGTAAGTAGTTGGATTTTCAAATTTTTATTGCGAAAGTTCGGGCCGTGTACCGTGTATACGGCGAATTTTCCAAAAAACATGTCAACTTTGCGCTTGAATATATAATCAACCCTAGATTGGTCACGACATGAGGGAAACCCCGCCACGCGTCGTTTTTCTTTAATTATTACAATTGTCTGGCTAACCGGAAAAATTCAAAATAATTTGACTTTATGAATTGAAGTGACTGAAGAATTATAGTAGTTTTTAGAACAACATATTTCCGCAAATTCCTAGAGAGAAAATTATTTCAAACAGATGAATTATTTTTTCCACGTTAAATGAAATTTTCCATCACGCGACGTTGCCGGAAACTCGGTGAGCGCCCCCGGGCAGTGTAGAATGAATTCGGCAACGCTAGAACCGAAATAACACGGCGGGGAATCCCCGCGGAGGTGACCAGAGTCGCCGAGTCGCGTTTGCTGACGAGAATAAGGTTAAGGGTAACACTGAGCATAAAAAATCTCACTGGACTTCTTCAAGTGAACGATCTCGCTCACTTCATTTTTTTTCAGATTTTTCCTAGATCTTTCGAATTTATCATTATGTCGATTTACGCTGGTGCGGCGCTTGCAGCGCCACCAACGGCCTTCGTAACTTTAATAAAATGAATGAAAGGGACGAGTAGATCATCAATCCAGAATTCATCAATAGGAAAAATGAAATCATCTCCTGAAACGTAGTGTAGTGGAGTTTTGTAACGGATATACAAGACATTTTTAATATAAATGCGGCTACAGGAAAAAAAATTGATAGAGTGAGAGTAGCCAGGACTTGCGTGCATAACCACGCCTCGTAAGACCAGACTTATTCGAAGGTATCGACAGTATCTGTTTTGATATCTTGATCGGCACGTGCCTCATGGAATTAGTTCTAGCTGCGTTTGACTGCTACATGGATTTGAGCTGTATCACGAAGTGTGAGGAATGAGAATAAAATGAAAGAATTGCTGAATTCTCTGGCTATTATACATATTAAAATGAGTACCACTTGCACAGTATTTAATCAAAATTACCGAGATAAGTATTTTTTTATTTCGTCTGGGTTACATGAGTTTTTCCCGGAAAATTGAGACAGATTAGTTTTATAGAGAATTCTGAGATACCTTGGTTTATTCAGAAATTCTGAGACACATTTGTCTTAAAAATAAAAATACCCTTGTTTCATTAGGAATTCGAAAGTTTCATGATTTTACATTTTTTCATTTGTTTATTGTATTACAATCGCGAACTCTCTCTGCACCTTCTCTCGGTTACGACACGTGTATCCAATCGTGCATTTTTACGCTCACATTGATATTGAATTCATTTGTTGCCATGTTTCAAGAATGAATACCATGTTTTTTTATTTCTTCGAAATTTCCGGGATGCGAATTTTGCATTGCTTAGATGCTCGTTTGTATGCATGCGTTAATGTATAAATGAAAACTTTCACGGAGGTAAGTCAGTGGGTTTTTGCACAAAGAATGATGAGCGTTCTATGCTAATGGACTCGATCATCGTCATTTAATGTCAAGGACACGAGTCCCTTGCTGGAGAACACGTACATGCACTCGGCAGACTGCGATGTTGTTCATTTTTTATATCAACATTACATTCTCGGATGTATGCATCACGTTTATCAAATTGTTCTCTTTTAATTGCTTCTTCGTTACGGGCGTTAATTGAAGGAGAGTGCAGCGGGCTCTTTTTATAGTGAATCCCTGCATGGAGCTTGATGTCAGGTCCCACACAGCATGATTATTTTATACAAATTAAACAATCTGTTACACAGAATGACATTCAAACGCGAGAATAATATTCACTGTTAGAAAAAAAAAATGAAATTTCAGGGACTGTTGAGGCGCGATGACATTTCAGTGAAAAACTTTTTGATTTGAACTTCTTTCGGATTTCTGTTGCTCAAAATTTACATATAATCATCGAAATTAAAAATGAGAAATCTAAATTTCTGACTAAAGATGAAATAAAAAATTGATAATACGGAATTGTCAATTGTCCATTGACTAAATAATACTAAATTTCATAGAAAGGTTTTTCGATGAAGGAAATTGATTGATCGAAAATTATTGCTAAGGGGTTAAATGAAAACTTAAGAATATCTTCACTTGAAATATTCTGATCTCTGTTAATTTTCACGGCATAATTAAACTGAAATTCAGAGTTTCCACTCATTTTTCCATAGAATTTTGAATAATCAATTAGGAAAATCCTTGAAATTTCCGTGGACCTTCATAATGTGCCAAAAATTTCCAACGAGTGCACTGGAAATTTCAGGCAACAATTTTTAACAGTCTTATTACAAATCTACATCTACATGTTCCCTACTAACAAAACATATCACTCGATAAAAATGGGACATGGAGACGCTAGAATGATTGTTTCTCAACAGGCGGATGACAAAGAGCTGTCAGGCGCTGAGGAGGAGAAGGAAGTGGAAAAAGCACTGCTGAAACCACTGCTATCGCTGGAAGACTTGGTGAGGTTTTCAGCCCTCGAGGGTAGCGGTAGGGATTCTCTCAGGACACTTCTTCAACGGGGACATGAAACTGGTACAGAGTGGCCTGGTTTCGAGCATGCCAATATTGGACCCTATATCCATAAAATGTTGGCAGCTGCGGGTCCATTCAAAGGCAAGATAACTTTTCTCGAAATTTTCTATTATGAACAATCAGAAACTAATCCAGTCACGAAGCAGTAAAACGATTCAAGTTGATTTCGACTGTTGTCCAATTTCGATTGAATATCTCGAAATCTAAGGAAATCCAATGCGACAGACGATATATGTGACTAATTTCCCATTCATATTCAAATTTCAGAAACTATTACGAACCCGACGAAATCACTAGCACGACAAATAAAATCCTGACTCGAGTCCCAAATAACAATAAGAAAAAAGGTGCCAAATACTTTGAACTGTTTTAAAAACTCTCCAAAACTCTGGTACAAAAATCCAAACTATCTAGAGCATCTATCCTCTAAAATTGAATTTTGAAAAACGAAAAACAAATTAGACTGGTGCACTTGCCAATAAAGCAGAAAAAAAATCAAGTAGGATGTGGGTTGTATCGTATCAACCCAGGTGGTTTTACTCAGGGAACAAAAAACTTACCGGTCTTCCGAAATCGATAGAAGCCAGGGTGGTCATACTAGCCTCTTATTCCACCCCGATGAGCGGACATTTTGTGACTGCCCATTACTCTAATGCTTCTCCCCATTTATTCGCCCCTCCGTTTCAGGTCTTGAGAATCAAGAGTACAGGATACCAGAGGTGATGAGGCGATTGATGAGCGAGGACAAAAGACTAAACAAAGATGTGAATGGCGATCAGTCCCACTCACACGTACAATCACCCCAGTCGCAATCGTTACAAGGTGGACAACAGCAGAGGTTACCAATGACAAATGATGATTTTAATCCAGCTATTGAGGAGGAGGCGAGCGACAGCGCTCAGGGTAGAGCTATACTCAAGATTCCGTCCTATAAACCAGCGAGTACACCTGGCTCAAGTAAGAACAATGGTGAGCCCAATTCAGCAGCATTTGCCCAGGGTTTTGCTGCATCATCAAGTGCAGCTGGTAGTCCTGGCCTGTTGGAGCGCGCTAGTCCAGCATTCTCGGGTACAAGTAGTCCGACAAATTCACTCGTTGGTAAAGGTGTCAGTGTTAACTTTCGTGATGTCATTGCTAAGAGTATTAGCTCAAAATTTCAAGAGGGCCAGTCAGGACAAACCAATGTATCCCAAACACCTACACCATTGCTCAGTGATTCGAATCCCTTCAAACGGGGCAGATACACACCACCGCAAACTGCACACCAGCAGCAAACGCAGCAGCAAAAATCACAGAGCCAAGAGAACAAATCAAAACCAGGCGCTGGTGGCAAAGGTACAAGACCAAAACGTGGAAAATACAGGAATTACGATCGGGATAGTCTGGTGGAGGCGGTGAGGGCTGTGCAGAGAGGAGAAATGAGTGTTCATAGGGCTGGTAGTTACTACGGTGTACCACATTCCACCCTCGAGTACAAGGTCAAAGAGAGGCATCTCATGAGACCAAGAAAGAGGTAAAAAATTGCTGCTTCTAATGAACCAAAAGGAACTATTCGTAATTCCTTCTTGATATATTTCATCATGTGAAGAATGACGTAAAAATTTTTTGTCAACAGGGACCAGAAGCAGTCGGAGGATAAATCAAAAGACTCACCGACGGCGCCATCGTCACTACGGCCAGCTCACCAAGACAAAAAGCCACCGTTGAAACCTCAAAAATCATTCACCCAAGGTCCAGGTGGTTTACCAGGTGGTCCAAATGGCTTGAAAATGCCATTTTTAGACGGAATGCCGCATCTACCATTTCCACATCCTTTCAATTTTGGTTGGGGTCCAACGCCATTCATGCCTTCACCGTTTATACCAGGTGCACCAAATGTACCAACGATACTGCCCGAACAGTATTTCGCTACCCAGCGAATGCGTGGACTGCAGGAACAGCAGAGAAGTGCTATTGTACAGCAGCAACAGCAGAGTAGTAGAGAAGGTGGTGGTACAGAGCCAGGTACGTCAAATTCACGTTCAATGGTTAAAACAACGAGGGAAATGGCTGAGAGCCTTTATGAGGGTACAGGTGCAAATGGTAGCTTTCTCGATAATCTAATAAGATCAAGTTTGGAGACTGGTATGCCAAGAGATCAACGGGGTATAACTGAAGGACGGGCTCAGGGACAACATCATCCCGAGGCAATGAGCAGTAAAGCATTAATTGATCAACTCTGCAGGAACTCCAGACGTACACCATTACCAAGAATGACAGATAGCAGTGAAGACGAGAGCTATCGTCCATCAAGATCATTGCCAGAGAGGCCAGAGAGAGTACCAACTGTTGATTTGAGTCCATCGCCAACAGAGAGAATAAGAAATGATGATCAGGGAAGTGATCGTTTAACATCACCACCAACACCACTGTCGATAAGCAGAGCTGGTAGTCGTGATGATGACACTAGGGATTCACGTATTGATCGTGGTAGTAGAGAGCGTGAGGTGCACAATGGTGGTGATGAGCCACGAAAAACAATACTACAACAGCAACAGCTGAATCATTACCCGGATATACACAATCTTTATGCCGTATCAAATGAGAAAAAAAGTGCCTGTGATAGTAAGCTTATAGTAGATCATTCGAGCCAGAAGACTCAACAGCAGCAACAACAGCCGAAGGAGTTTGGTGCTGTGAGCGGACTTGTTGTGCAACTTCAGAGAGGCTACAATTCTGGTAGTAATTCGAGAACAACGGAACAAGAACAACAGAATAATTCACAGCCAGTAGCACAACCGGTTCAGGAACCACGGGGACCTGCCCTCACCATGGAAGACTCCGTAGAGCAGTAGACGAAAAGTCAGTATCTTATTGTTAAATGAAAAGAAAATGGAACAATTGGATACAGTACCAAATTTAACCCATTCCTCGCCAAAAAGAAAAACGAAAGATGAACAATAATGCAAAAATTCGCCCCACCCCCCCTCTCATTCCTTTCTAGCGTCGCGCCCGTTCCGCACCACGTGTAGAGAACAAACAGAAAAATCCTCGTCTGAGTTTAGAAAGAACAATATCACCTCAGCAGAAATCCTCACCTCATCCATGCCCCTCTGAAAATCCAATCACTCTTGTCAAGACATCAGTCCCAAGAGCGAAGTAACAAATGATGCAAAAAGATTAACAATTCACTAAAAAGTGACGAAAAAGTTAGGACGTACAGTGTTCACTGTATGCTGCAATAATCCACCATGAACCTGATGCGATTCCGACAGTAACAGAAGCCATCCTCGAGTGCAAATTTTCCCTGCCTCGATTGTTCAATATCTAAAGAAAAATCACGGCGGAAACATCACACTAACCGAGGATGACTGAACTTTCGAAAAACCCGGAAAATTAGGAGAAATGCGTTAGAAAAGACCGTAAAAACGTTTGAGCAAAAATTAATGAAAATAGCTAAACCTAATACACAAATTTACACATTTGAATAAACATTAACATGTGGGAATATATCTCGAGAGAATGAGGTGAACATAGAGACAACCTACACACGCAGACAGATAGACAAATGAAAATTACACTATTACACGAAATAACAAGATTTTAAAAAACAAAGATACAAGTGAAAAAAGGACACAAACGCGCGCACCAAACAAATGAAAAATTTAATAAATAAATAAAAAAAAACCCACTACCCGCACACTCACTCATCTATGACACACCAAAAGATGAACCTGAATGCAATTCACCCGTATACTATGATAAAATACGAATAAAGGGCAGGTGAAAAAATTTAAAAAAATTGAAACACAACGTATTTTTTTCCTCTATCAGTGTAAAACTACCTAACATACTTACCTACTATTAATATTACTTAACTATTAAGAGGTAACATAATTATATAAGAATAATATATTATATATACATATATTTTTGATCATTACGAAGTATGCGACGAGTAAAAAACATTAAAAATTGACAAAAAAAATGAATAAGACGAGCCAAGACTTTTGTTGGCGCGCGCGATAGGGTGAGAAAGAAAGAAAAAATATGATTATAGGCGTTTTCACAAGGCGACAATATATTATCTAAATAAATCTCAGTTCTTTCGGGCCAGCGTTCCACGTAATTGAGGGCGTACAGACGATGAATTTAATTAAACAAAAAAAGTGAGAATAAGTTTTAGTGAAAAGGAAGAATTGAATAATCGGATGAAAATGAGATTCTTGTCCCGCTAATGCATAGCTCGATTGAAATTGTTCGGTATACGATTTTTCATTGGGAAATAAGAGCCTGATAATTGAGAGTGAATTATAATTAGTGTGAGAGGATCTATTTTTAATGAACAAGTCGTATAACGTGTGATTTATGTGATTTGGCGATGTCGCGCTGTGAAATAAATTCTAGGTGAAAATTTGTGGTTTAACGAATGAAGATTAGATATGGATTGAAAATTGAATGAAATTTATTGAAAAGTAATAACTGAGTTACCATACGCACTCTCTATGCGGGTCATTTCTGAGGATAAAATTAACAAAAAAAAATGTTTCTATTTAAAATCCGACTTTTTTGATACGAAAAGACAAATTTTCTACCAATAGATGAATGAAATAGAAATTTTAAAAAACAAAGCGTAGCAGTTCTTTGATGAACCGTAGGTTCTTCCTATATTGGTCGGGAGGACTCGCTGTGGGGCATGTGGAAACGATTAATTATTGAAAATAAAGGGGTAAATACCCGTGAAAATAATGTCCTAGACTGGGCACGATCGATCGCTATGATTCCTACGTCTTTCGGAAAACTTGGAGAAATGAAATAATTAATGATGCGGTTTCCGGCACGATTATGTAAGATTATTGATGATGGAAAAAAAACGAAGTACCTACACGCTATATCAAATTCACCCAAAAGATAACCATGAGACCCTCACAACCGCCCAGTTGAATTATACAGCCCATACTTGATAAATTCCCGCCCCCCACCCCCCTTTACCGCGAAAAAATTCTTTTGGCATAACATTATGGACATGCGCGTTCGAGTTTGCTGAACAACGGGAGAAGAGATGTAAATTCTTGTGGGAGAATAAACAAAAAAAATTAAAATTAAAAATCTAATGAAAACGAAAGTACGAACAAAAATGAAAAATATGTTAGATATACACGTACACATACACTGCTGATAGATAAATGATGAAAATTCATGAGGAAAAGTCATTGATGTTTCGTTGGACCAAAAAATTTGAGGTGAAATTTTTTACACATTCCAGATTATTCAGAGAGGATAATGAAAATTATGATGATGAAAAAAAAACATATATGCACTCATTCATGACTCTTATACGACTGAAACTCTAGGCTGTACATAAAATAAGGCATGTATATGTTCGGTGTTGAAAAAAAATCTCCTTACTAACGAAAAAAAGTAAAAAAAATTATAATACGAAAAAAACAACATATTAAGCAAGGCTAACTCTATCTCGGTGTTTTGGAACTAAAAACCTAAATTTACGTATTTAACAAAAAATGATGGAAAAAAAACTAAAATTAAAACAATTCCAAGTTATCGAGTGTAAATGTTAAGGTCTCTTTATAGGGTTAAAATCAGTGAAATGGAGAAAAAAAATAATGGGAGGAAAGCGAAAAGCACTATTCATGATTGTGTATCAACGTGTAATTTAAAAATTCAAAAATCATTCCTCTACCTTCAATGCCCCCTTTAGGCCCCCGATCCCTCCCTCCCCCTCTCTCTCTCACCAGGGCGCCCTCTTCGAATGAACGCAAATAGATAAACCAAAAGGATGATGAAACAAAGATCACTGTAAAGTCACTCGGTGTAAATTTTTTCCGGTAAATTAATCAAAATTCTTCGTTCTGAATGTTCATTGATCGCGCGAGAAAAGGTAAAAATTTTTTAGAAAAACAAAAAAAAAAATGCACTCACCTCGTGACCACCCCCTCCCCCCTCTTTCTCTCTTCCCCAGTCCAATGCGACTCGATTCGTTTTCCCAATCGACTCAGAAAACCTCTGAAGCATAAAAAAAATTCTTAAAATGCAAAAAAAAATGAAAAATTTATCGTTAGATGTGAAATCTATATTATTGTACGAACGATATATTGCTAATTATGATTGTCGTTATTAATTAATTGCGAATTCATTGCGACGACCGGTGCAGTCTTCATTATAGGTGAAATGATAAAGAATTTAAAACGGGTGTCGGATTCTTGACGGTCGACGTGTCCCCCGAAATTAGCGCGTGATTTGTCATCCGTTGTGGTGATCTGATGATGATTGTTATTCTCTCATAATTGGGTTGAAAATATTAGTGATATTAGTCATCGATTTTTGGTGAAATTTTGCGTTTCGAGAGAGGAATTAATCATTGGAGATGAGCATGACTGATTGATTGACCCATTGAACAGCCTCACAGTTCCCCACTCCTCACCATTTTCTGGTAGTGTGCGTGCGCAGCGCGGGCATTTCTTATGGCGCACTAATACTTTGAGGGGCTCCCTACTCCTCTCACACCGACGCGTTTCCTGACGCTGTCCAATGGGTCAAGTTCAGGCGAGTGAGAAGACATCACTTGACGATAACTAGATGAAATTATGCGGAAACGAATTATCGTCGATGATTTTATCTGGCGAGAGGGGTAACTGTTACATTAGAATTTAATTATATCGACCAAGCGCGAAACTTGAATCAGAAAAATGTTATACGAGTAATCGATAAGTCGAAGAGATACGATAATCAAGGGATCAAACTAATTACGGGAAATTAGGATTCAATTTTAATTAGAAAATTATGATTTACCATCGAAATTGCCTATTTTGTCGACGTGTTTCCTCGGGGAATGAATTTTCAGGAAAATTGGGGAGACTGTGAAAAATTATTTGGATAGCGGAGTCAAGTGAATGTCCCTTCTCTTTCAAGCTTTTGATTTATCGGGAACGATGCGCCAATGATCCGGTGTCGATTTAATTAGTTGAGAAAAAAAAATGAAAAGGGCAGAGTTTTAAGATTAAAATGAAGATATATTATATTAAAATATCTGTGATGTAAAAAAGTAACAAAATTTTGATGTATATTTTTCACAAACATATTGTAACCTGCTAGTGTATATGTAATAAGGATTATCGATATTACATTGTATGATTACGGTACGAAGTGTTTCAAGGGGGATGAGAAAACATGGAAAACAAGGGAGATAATTTTAATGGCGTTTTTAATATCCACAGTTGGTGGTCGGACGGGACTAAGATGGCGGGTAGAGACCGGAAAATCGGGCGCGGAGACTCCCGTTTCTTATTTTTTTTTTCAGTGGGTTTGTTTGAGATGTTCGTGGGAGATGGAAATTTGATTTTTAGACGAGGTTGGGGTGTGAAAAATTACATCATTGGACGGATGAAAATGCGTTAGTATTGCCTGTTTTCAAAAGACATTTTTCATCACTTTTTTGGTGAAAAATAGGGTTTGATACTCATGGGAGAAATGTTCTTCGACACCTCTCACAGGTCAGGAAAACAGTTTTACGCACGCGTATCGAAAAATACCAATTTTTGATTATTTGAAATAGTATATTTCGATGCCAGTGTGTAATTAGTATATTATGTGACTAGTGCGCAACGTTCAGTCACGCCGTGCGGAAAACAACCACCTTACGTACACTAAACCGTGTCGAAAAGTGCACTTTTCAGGCAGATATCACAAAAAGTATATTACGATGGTAGTGAACAAAATTAGTTCTTGACAAGTATGAGTTGTTGACCTCGCCTTCGGCTCGGTCTGTAATCACACTCGTCAGAAAGTACATTTTTTCATATGCATCGTGCGATATTTTATGATACTAGTGAGAAAAAAGCGGTTTTTTGCGCGAGGCGTACAAAAAATGCGCTTTTTTCACTTGTATCGTAGAAGTGTTTTTGACTCGTGGGAGTGCTATACTCCTAGGTGTCAAAGAACTTTTCCCACGAATGTCTAACCCTATTTTTCATCACAATGTATAAAAAGTGGGATTTCTCGAACGCGGAGCGGGCGTAAAATATGGCTTTTCGCACAAGTGATGAAAATGTAATTTTTTAGTGTCGACTTTTTTTAACATCAATAGTTAGTTGAGTTTTCTCAAGAATTCAATTTAAGAATACATTACATTATTTTTGATTATTTTATTAAAAATTTATTTTTTAATGTTTTTATTGGTTCTTTAAATGTGACTATTCAGTTGAATTTTTCGATCTAATATTAACTCGAAATGAGTAATTACTAGAATAATTTCCATTAAAAAATATCGCTGTTCACAATCTGGAAATTAGTCTTAATCGAAGAATATTTTTATTTCTACATCAAGAATTTTTATTTTTCGACTTGAGAATCCAAAATTCCTCATCTAAATTCCTCTGAACTCAAGAATATTCAATCTCCGGATTCAAAAACCATTTCGCTCCAAGAATTCTCAAACGAAGAACACATATTTCGGGACTTAAAAAATCCTCCACTCATCCACATCGAATTTCTGCCCCAGCAGAAATCTTTTTCGTCTCTCGATGTATTTTTCACGCCCAACCAACAAAAAAAATTGATCACAATCGCTAAGAGCGGGAGAATTTGCTCCGATTGGCCCTGAAACGGCTCAATGTCAGCTACCTCACAATACTGTCACGTTTGGAATGGTTCAAGCATTGATCAACCGTTGTGTCACAACTCTACTCGAAACAACCCCATCTCCACACAAGGTTCAAAACAGCTACCTAATCCTAAAATCAGTTGCTCAATAATTATTTTCATAATGAAATCATATTCGCCGACTCC